CGCCATCTTTCTTTCCAGAGAGGAGAGGGCGAATGGGGCAACACCCTTTCCCCTCCAGCAGATTTGATGGCCTGGATTAACGCATAGTCCATTCACTTTTCTGCTCCAAGCTGTTGGGTTCTGCATTAAATCCTTGTGTTTCTGGGGCTGTGGCCGTGCTGGAGAGCCGCTCGTGGGGGGCAACTGGTGGCCTCGGTAGGGCGTGAAGGACGGACCGGAACGCCCCCCTTCCCATGAGGTTTTAGTCGCCCCCACACCCCTGGCTCATACCTGCTGTCCACAAGGCTCCCATGTGGCCGCCACCTTTCTTTCCAGAGGGAGGAGGGCGGAAGGGACCAACACCCTTTCCCCTCCGGGCAGACATGATGGCCTGGATTAACGCATAGTCCTTTCACTTTTCTGCTCCAAGCTGCTGGGTTCTGCATTAAGTCCTTGTGCTTCTGGGGCTGTGGCCGTGCTGGAGAGCCGCTCGTGGGGGGCAACTGGTGGCCTCGGTAGGGCGTGAAGGACGGACCGGAACGCCCCCCTTCCCATGAGGTTTTAGTCGCCCCCGCTCCCCCGGCTCATGCCTGCTGTCCACAAGGCTCCCATGCGGCCGCCATCTTTCTTTCCAGAGAGGAGAGGGCGAATGGGGCAACACCCTTTCCCCTCCGGACAGACATGATGGCCTGGATTAACGCATAGTCCGTTCACTTTTCTGCTCCAAGCTGTTGGGTTCTGCATTAAGTCCTTGTGCTTCTGGGGCTGTGGCCGTGCTGGAGAGCCGCTCGTGGGGGGCAACTGGTGGCCTCGGTAGGGCGTGAAGGACGGACCGGAACGCCCCCCTTCCCATGAGGTTTTAGTCGCCCCCACACCCCCGGCTCATACCTGCTGTCCACAAGGCTCCCATGTGGCCGCCACCTTTCTTTCCAGAGGGGGGAGGGCGGAAGGGACCAACACCCTTTCCCCTCTGGCAGATTTGATGGCCTGGGTTAACACATAACCCGTTCACTTTTCTGCTCCAAGCTGCTGGGTTATGCATTAAGTACTTGTGTTTCTGGGGCTGTGGCCGTGCTCAAAGCTTAACTATGATTTTCAGAGAGAAACGTTAGGTGGTTTACTTCCCATGGATCACTTTGTATATAGAGAGATGTCGCGCGGCCGCATAAGCGGCCGCGCGGTTTTGAGGAAAAGTCCTAGTTCCCGCATACTCGAGCTGTGCTTGTAGAGGTTTCTGGTCACCGGGGTTCCATCTGGGGGAGGCGGGATGCGGTACCTACCCCATCTGGGACTTCCCGATGATCTCGGCTCTTTTTGGAACCTGTTTTTTTTTTTTTTTCCTTCGGGATCTGTGGATCCCGCCCTCCATGTTGTCCTTCTCTTCGGCTAAATCTGGTTCATTTCTTAAGGCACAGGAAAAGTGAGAAAGCTTGCAAAGCCACATATTAGCAGAAAGTGTAAGAACTCCAGGGACCAAACCATAAGAATTAATCATATTTCAGGATGAATGCAGAATCAGACAATCCAAAACACTGGCATTGTCTAAGTCTCAGTAGAGATTAAAAGTGATGTAGGCAGATAAATAGGGAAAGGCTCTTGGCAATGAAACTTAGGTCAACAGAACTTCTGGGAGGAAAATCCTAAGACCGATTCACCCTGTGGATACAGAAAACAGACCTGATAAGACCTCCAGCAGACTCTAAGGAGGTTGGACCCCTCTCCATGAAGTTCCTCAAACCCTAAGACCTCTCCCTTAAACTGATTAAAATGTGATACAGCCCTGAGAAGAGCCTTGAACAAAGGAAGCACGCGCATAGGCTGCCCGAGCCCATGTGCTGCTTGCGCCCACACTGCCGAGCACATGTGGTGGCTGAGTACATGTTGCCTGCATCTCCCCTCTTGAGATGTGTACTTTCATGCTTTCATGTCTAATGCTAGAATGTGTGTAAGGGCTCTCTCTGCCCTTGGAGAAACCCGAGTTCTCTCTTGAGTACCTTTTCCTCTCTCTCTCTCTCTCTCTCTCTCTCTCTCTCTCTCTCTCTCTCTCCTCACATCTTAAAAACTCTCCAAATAAAATTTATTTATTTCATTGCTTCTCTACTCCTGAAATTCCTTTCTGCGAGGCGAGACAAGAACCCAGTAACCCTGGGTCCCGGGTAGCAGAGGTGGTTGGGGAGAAAGTAACCTTATTTCTCCTCCCCGCTTCACATAAGTCACCCGTGGGACCCACTGACATCAAAATGGATGCACATCGATAATACATGGAAACAAAGTATAGCATGCCACTGTGCACAAGCGAGGATGGAAAATCCACAGATGAATGCAACTAGTCTGGACAACCCAAAAGAAACTTGAGGACTCATGTCGCATCTATGTGAAAGTTAAAATCCATCAAAAATATTGCATATAAGCATCACATGTTGAAATTATGAAAATGTTGACAATGGTCTTTCAAACTATGCTTTGTTGGGACTGGAACAATAGCACAGAGGGTAGGGCATTTGCCTTGCAAGTGGCCAACCCAGGTTCAATTCCCAGCATCCCATATAGTCCCCCGAGCACCGCCAGGAGTATTTCCTGAGTGCAAAACCATGAGTAACCCATGTGCACTGCCGGTGTGACCCAAAAAAGCAAAAAAAAAAAGTATGCTTTGTCATATAGTTGTTTACTTCAAGACTCACTGTCATAAAATACAGATGGTGCTTCCCAAGAAGCTTTAGATCAGAAAAAATGACCAATTTTCAATGACTGATAAGCAGTCAGTACAGCTGTGTCACACCTGTAGGATAACATGGTTTGTCCTTTCTCCCTTACTACAGGGAGTTTACGTTTATCAGGTTACACCTATCACAGACACTCCCATTCCTTTGCTTATCTTTAACTTCCTTGTGCTCTGCTTCCCCAACTGGTCTATCACCTTTTTCCCCTAATCAGACTCTGTTTAATTGTAAGGTCAGATGCTTCTAAGGACACTTGTATTCATAAATGAAATGTTGCTTTTCTCCTTCTCTTATGTCCTTTTGCATAGTTTACTTTAAAGCAACGTCCTTTTTGTATAGACACAAGAGGACAGTTAATATTATGCTTTGTAACTTGGGAGTTAATTGACACTAAATAATATTCATTCCTGGGCATCTACTTTCTCAACTTAAGCCTCAGTTGCCCTTAGTTCCTAGCACCCCAAAAGCAGGGTCTCGATGAAGGACTGGATGGACCCAGGGTAAGCTGTGAGCTACCCTGGCATCGAAATGGGCCAAGCCAAAGTGTCACAATACTTAACTATAAGTTAAGAGGATGATCATGGACAAATTCTGTAATGATCCTAAGAGTAACAACTGAATTAGGATCCTGCTAAGGTCAGGAAAGACTAATTAGGACTGAGTACTGTTGATCTACTATATACCATAGATCTGAGATCTATAGCAAGATGGCCCCAGGAGACCAATCCTATAAGCTTAATGTATTTCTTACTATGTCCATACAAAACGACTAATATTATGAATGTTTATATGTTTGTTGGGCTGGAGCAATAGCACAGCGGGTAGGGCATTTGCCTTGCACACAGCCAACATGGCTAACTCCCGTTCGATTCCTCCACCCCTCTAGAGAGCCTGGCAAGCTACCAAGAATATCTCACCCACACGGCAAAGCCTGGCAAGCTCCCTGTGACGTATTCGATATGCCAAACACAGTAACAAGTCTGACAATGTTATTGGGCCCGCTCTCAAGCAAATCAATGAACAATGGGAGGACAGTGACAGTGATATGTTTATTGGACTAGGAGAGGAGAAACACACCCATAGATGGAATTTCGCTCTTGGGTGGGTTGTCCTACTGAATGAGAGTTTGTCCTAGAAGAAGTTTCACCTGAGGGAAGGATTTTACCTCTGTTGATTGTATGACCACACCTATGTGTAATCCCCAACCCCTCATACTTTGGGATATAACAAAGACTGTAAGAGTGGGCAGGAGGGAAGATCCAGAGGAGAATCAGAGGAGAATGGAAACAAGATTGGAATAAACTGCAATTGATACCAACCTGCCTTGCCCTCCTTCATCTGCCCATCACCATTGGCCACTCCGGGGTGGGGGAAGCGGCGCAAGATCTCAGAATGTTGGCAGTGAGAGAGTCACTGCAGCCTTTCATAATTTATTTTTTGAATACACAACACCCAGAAAGCAGCATGCAATCCCTAAAATGTCCTGTAACCAAACCAAGGAAGTTCTCCACATACTGCACTATCACTCTATGCCATAAAGTAGGAAATATAAACAAAAATAATTGAATTCTGGAAAGAGCAGTGCAAGTGCACCCAGCATTAGTATGAGTAGAGGACAAGTAGTATTAGCACCACAATCTTACAGGATAACACGTGCATGTATTAACACTGCTAGGCATCTCTGATCAGCCCTGAAATGGGAATAGATGTCTCATACACACAGAAATCTATAGTCAATCTCTGAACTTCACGCCTTACCCAGCATAGCCAAATGGGTGCAATCCCACTGTCTCCAAGTATCACGAGACCTGAGTAGCATTCAGATCACTGTCCCAATCAAACACACCTCCCATCTAGTTGGACAAACATCACATGCAGCAGCAACCAAAAATCACTCAACACAAACAGTAAAACCAAAGACAAAGTGTTGTAGTAAAACTCCGACACCAAACACAATTGGGAGTATCAGACAAGGCCCACTGCATGTTGTACATATGATTACCAAATGGGAAGCGGGGGGAGTCTCTTTGTGAATATTAAAACCTGTACAGAAAGCACACCAAACATGACAGTTGCTTGGTGCAAGCATCAGAGTACAATTCAACCCACAAGTACAAATCAAACCTCACTACGGTAGAACAGGTGAGTATGTCCCAATACCAACTGGCCTAGGGAATATGACATAAATCACCGTGCCCAATCATTGAACACCACAGGCACATGAGTAACCAGGAATGACCACAATTCCTGTGATAGCAGGTGAGAGACTACCCAAGAAAGATGTATTAAAAGTGTAGTTTGGTGCTCGCTTCGGCAGCACATATACTAAAATTGGAACGATACAGAGATTAGCATGGCCCCTGCACAAGGATGACACGCAAATTCGTGAAGCATTCCATATTTTTAAAAAATAAATAAATAAAATAAAAGTGTAGTTTGGGGGCCACACCCAGCAATGCTCAGAAACCTAACAAACACCACGTGGTTCAGGGGATGAGAAGCATGAGGTGCCTTGTAATAAAGTATTTCTCAGAGCCCAAAACCAAATGCAAATATTGGAGTACACAATGGAGTGCCCATTTTCATTTTCAAGAGAAGCAGAAAACTGGAAAAGTTACCGTGTATTCAAAAAATAAATGTGTAGGTGCTTTTGTCACATTGCATTCAGTGGTCATGAGCGGCTTCCCCATTCCTGCCTGCAGCGCCCCCTAAACACACATGAAGGAGGGAAGAGGGCCACCAAGCTGGATGGTGATCAGTTGCAGTTTATTCCAATCTCTGTCCGGCCTTTGATTTCATTCTCCCCATGTGCCTATTCGAGTCTCACAGTGTGCCCCATTCCAGTCTCACACTGCCCCTCATTCCTACTTTCCCCATGTTAGTCTCCCTATGCCCAGTCTCACTGCTTTCATCAAGTCATCAAGTCTTACTCCAAGGTTGGGGTAGCACCTACACATAAGTGTGATGGTGCAATCAACATATGTAAAGCCCTTATTTCTGGAGCTCTTCTAAGACAAAAATCTCATTCTGCTAGGAGATCCGCTGAAGTTTGGAATTTCATTTAAGGGTCTATTTCTCCTTTCCTTAGTCCACAACCATTTAAACAGTCACCTTAAATTTACTTCTTCATAATCTTTCTAGCCATATGGACACAATGAAAGATATGTTAAGCTTACAGGGTAGCTCTCCTGGGAACATCTCACTATAGATCCCAGACTACAGTCCTCAGGTCCGATTAGTCCTTTCTAACCCTAGCAGGGTCCTTGTCCAGTCACTTCTCTTTGGGTCATGACAAAATTTGTCCAAGAAAGGGCTCTTAACTGATTGCTGGTTTTATGGCACTTGGCCTGTCTCATTTCGATGCCAGGGTAGCTTATCACTTACCCTGGGTCCATCCAGGTCCCTTTGTCGGGACTCTGCTTTGGGGGTGCTAGGAACTAAGGGAAACTGAGGCTTAAGTTGAGTAAATATGACGATGCTCAGGAGTAAATATTATTCAGAGTCAATTAACTCCCATGTTACAAAAGCATAGCATTAACTGTTTTCCTGTGTTTATACAAAAAAAGGATATTGCTCTAAAGTAAACTATGCAAAGTACATAAGGGAAAGAGAAAAGCAATATTTCACTTACAAATACAAAATCCAGAGTCCTTAGAAGGATCTGACCTGACAAGTCACAGGGTCTGATTTGGGGATATAGGTGATTGACAGACAGGGGAAGCAGAGCATAGAGAAGTTAAAGATGAATATCAAGGAAATGGGAGTGATTCGGGAGCGTTGTGATGTGTATTACTTGGTAAACCTAAGCTCCTTGTGGAGAAGGAGAAAGGACACACTAATGTTATCCTATGACTGACCACACAGGAACTGAAAACGTAAAGCACTTGGAAAAACAGACCCAACACCCATGACAAGGCTGCAGCAAACCAGAATATTTATTGTATTGTATTGCACCAAGGGTGCCTAAGGAAATGTGAAGCGAGAGCATATGTTTCAAAGCACTTAACATAACCACAGAAAATTCACTCTAAAGTCCAAAATGTGTACATATACAGCACAATGAAAGATCTGCACATGTCTACTGCCTGCTGGAAACTAGAATCCAGAATGCTGGAGTCCAGAATTGGAATGCTGCCTGATGGGATCCTATTATGTGCTCTACCTCTGCTCCCCCTCCTGAAAGAAATTCCCCTCAAGAAAGCCCTTTACATTTAAGTTCATCTGGACAAACCAAGACAGATCAAGATAGTTAGGCATCTGACCAGAGAACGTTAATCTCCTTTCAGTAATTACTGGTTCTAAGTAACATTGTACATGTAGGACAGTCAGGGCTCTCAGTCCAGGACACTGTTAATTCCCTGACCCCATGCTTTTTCTCTTATTCCTGTCTCTTTTCTTAATTCTCATGGAACTCCTGCTTCAGGCCTGTTCACATGGGGATGGTCCTGGCAACTGCCGGCAGCATCATGACAAAGAGAGTCAAAGCAGATCCATAAGCAATGGAATATGTGAAATTGGAATATGTGAAAAATGTTCTAGGTTTAAAAACCACAACCGGATGGTTTGTGAAGGGCATGAGAAGTAAAGGCAGGGACCTTGGGAGAAAAGCAGCCCTGAGCCTCTGCCTCTTCCTCTTCGTCCCCCAAGCTGTGCTGGTCTTCTTCCCCACCCAGAAAAAAAAGAAGTAAAGGCATTGCTCATGGCCAGACTCCACAGGCTTGAATGAGCCTCATCCAGGAATGAATCTGTTGGAAAAGCTCAGGTATGCGGTTTTTGTGAAGGAAATCTGCAAGCTCCCACAGAGTAGGGAATGGGCAACCTCCCCCCATCCCCCTGTTCTTCCAGGAGCCTGGCAGTCATCTGGAGCCAAATAAGCTCATTAAAGGGCCATAATCCAGAGACTAATAAATAAATATTAAAAGATATGAGCAAGCTTCAGAGATGCTTCCAGACTCCAAAGTCATCATCCAGTTAAAATTTAACCCAGCTGGGGGCTGGAGCAATAGCACAGCGGGTAGGGCGTTTGCCTTGCACACGGCCAACCCAGGTTCAATTCCCAGCATCCCATATGGTCCCCCGAGCACCACCAGGAGTAATTCCTGAGTGCAGAGCCAGGAGTAACCCCTGAGCATCGCTGGGTGTGACCCAAAACGCAAAAAAAAAATTTAACCCAGCTGTATCACCCCATTGAAATTTTAGAAATCCTGGAATACATGGCCACAGAAGTAGACACATGATATCTCGAGGAGCATACCACATTGGATGGGATGTAAAGTAGAAGGCAAACAGTATCAATTAAGAAAATATTAGCACACAAGGTTTAACCTTTAACAACATGTTAGTAATCTCCTATACAAAAGTTTAATGGCTTGAGGGTGAGACACAACAATCTTCACACATTTTCTTTTAAGGAAATCTTTTTTGATCATTTGTAGTGAATTAATCATAACAAGCAATACAAATTAAATAATTTAGGACTTACTAACAGGCCTGGGTGGTGGTTGGGAAAAAAGGAAATAATGGCTGTGGGAAGATGTAATGATGGTGTCATTGGTGTTGGAATAGTGAATGTAATAAATCACTGTGAACAATTTTTTTAAATAAATAAAAATAATTTTTAAAAAAAGAAGTAAAGGAAGGGGCCAGAGCAATAGTACAGCAGGTAGGGCATTTGCCTTGCTTGTGTCTGACCTGAGTTCAGTCCCCAGAATCCCATATGGTCCCCCAAGAACCACCAGGAGTAATTTCTGCATGCTGAGTCAGGAGTAACCCCTGAGCATCACCTGGTGTAATCCCATCAATGGCCAAGACCCAGAGACTACAAAATCCAGCTCCCAGAAGGGTGCGGCCGTATTTGCGGCAGCATGACATCTTATAATCTCATTCTTACTTTGGACAACCTGGCAGGCTACCGAATGTAGCCTGCCCACACAGCAGAGACTGGCAAACTCCCTGTGGCGTACCCAATATGCCAAATACCAGTAACAATGATGGGTCTCATTCTCCTAAACCTGGGGCAGCCTTGAATATGACACTTTTTAAAATTTCAGTTCTAGGACGAAGGAGCCATTACTGGTGCCTGCTCGAGGCAATCGATGAACAACAGGATGATCGTGAATAATGATAAAGTAAAGGCAAAAAATATAACTGCAGCAGACAAAAGCATACCAAGTATGCCCACAGTATAAACATCAAAATAATGATTCAGAAAACCTATTACAGACACAAATACAACAGACAACTAAAATCAGAGAGCCTAACAGACACTTGTACACCCGTCTTTCTACCAGCATAACTAAGAATAACCAAAGTTATAAGAAACTCAAGGATCATGAGGTGGATCAAAGAATGAAAGGATATAACTTTACAAAGTCATGTCATGGAATATGTCAACTTGTATGATCTTTGTAGCTGTCATGTGAAGTGATAAGAAAAAGAGAAAAACACATAGTCACTAGGGCATATAGACTAATCTCAAGTTAGGGAGCAACACAGAAAACTAAAAACACAGCTTATGATGGGTCAATAAATACCATCTGAACGCAATAATGAAAACGCAAGAAAGTAAAAACACTTCCTTGTTTTGGAGTGAACAAATATACCCACCGTGGTTCAGGAAAAGCACCCAGATGTGTTATCTGTATCATGAACTAAGTGCTCTGGATGAATACTGGCCTTCCACAATGAAAGGAAGCACTACAGGCCACTAAGCTATCTTTCTGAGTCTTCACTTATTTGAATTTAAAAAACTAAACAGGGACCTGATGATAGTACAGCAGGGAGGGCACTTTACTTCTCATGTGGCCAACCCATGTTCTATCCCAGGAATCCCATGTGGTTCCCTGAGCGCTGCCAGGAGTGATCCCTTCAGTGCAGAGCCAGGAGTAATCAAGCCCATCATTGGCAAAGGAGTTGTGAAATATTACCATTATTTCCACATTTCCAGCCCTCAAAAAATGGTAGGAGAGGTATGTAGAGTTGACTAACTGATTTAGGAAGCATCACAATGAAATGCAATAGCAAGGCTTAACTATTAGGGGACTTAAATAATAGCAATTACAAAGCCAATATTTAATTGCACTAGTTTTATTTGGAGACGGTGGTCTGATCCCGTTTGGAATTTAGAAACAACAGCGACATCAGTCAGGCAAAATCATCGATTGACTATGATGTGGTCAATTTCGTTGTGAAACTGCCCACTCCCATGTCCAACGTTTAGATTCAGCCTTCTGGAACTGCGAGTTACCATGGGCAGTGGTGGTCAACATTATGAATTCAGACAGTCTCTCACTCTGTTCGTTCCATTCTAGGCTCTGGGTCCCAATGTGAAGTTCTTCGGGTGACCTCTCAGTCCTATCTTGGCATTAAAACCACCAACAATGACCTTGTAGAATGTGGGGTCTTC